TCCATTAGCAGTATCAACGGTAAATGGTATAGAAAGCATAACTGGCACAAATTCTAAATAACGAACATAGACATGCGACACAAAAGAATTTGTAGCTCCAGAATCGAACAAGATACAAGCAGGTCTAGAGTTAACAAAGAAAATACCAGTAATTTCGTCTGCCTCATTGCGAGCCTCCTCCGCGGTAATCGGAAAAGCTCGAGCTCGTGCTTTGGGTATCTCCTCCTTTTGACTTGAAGCACCACCCACTGCCGGTTGCTACATTGACGCCTTACTTTCTTCCCGCCTCATACGGGGGCATTCAAATTATCGGTGCCCAAATACTCCACAAGAATAACATGCTCGATTTCTTTTTGGGCAGTTTACACGAACGTGACCCATTTCCCCACAGCAAAAACATTTCAAGTTTGTTGTTTCAGTAAGGCATCGCCTTTGGTGAGTTTTGCCACATCTTTGACAAGGACGTGACGCATTAGATTGAAGTGAATAGACTTGTGATTGGGCACGCAGAATATTTTGAGATTGACTCATTCGAGGAGTGAAAGATCGAGATTGTCGCTGAGTAGGTACAGAGATGGTTCTTTCAGTTCGTTGCCTTTTTGATTCAGAAGTTGGTTCCCCAAATTTCGTTAAATCGTGTTCATGGCGACGAGCATACTCCACAGCTATATTGAAACTCGGAATATCACGATTAACAACAAACTCCTGGATTTCTCTCCTCATACCATCAACAAAATGCTCTATTCGATCATGTTCAGAAGATAAGAATCGTAAGGCAAAACGTGCCTTATGATTAAATTGAGTCTCATACTCAATCACAGACATGTTTCCTTGCTTGAGTTCCAAGAATTCTTTCTCAAGCCTTCGTTGCAAGTCGATCGGACAGAATTGCTCAAGGAAACGAGTCTTGAAAGACTCCCAGGTCTAGCTTTCTCGTTCATTTTAAGTCAGGGATTCAAAAGTTGCATCCCACCAAGTGAGTGCACGCTCTGTCAACATTGCACTAACATAATTCGCTTTATCATCATTCATCACTCGGGAAATTCGAAACACTTTTTTAGTTTTTTGAAGCCACTGCACCGCGATTACTGGGTCAGAGAGTCCAGTGAATTCAGTAGCACCACTACTTCATAAGCTTTTAAACGAGACCCGTTCAGATTTGGGTTTTGAGATACCACCCAGCTATTTCTCTTTACCCTTTTCTATGTCATGCTTATGATGTTCAAAAGTTTGTTGAACGAAAGTCATAAGTTGTTTCATTAAGCGTTCACTACGGGGAGACAACAGTGTAGCATCCTCATTCAGGTTGAGGTCGGGATYGTTTTCTCCAACATTAGGGTTTGTTGGAGTGTGACTAACAACATCATCATCAGCCATCGTCCTAAAAGGTGCACACATGGTGAGAGTATTAAAATATAGAGTATTAAATAATATCCTATTTCTGGTCTCTTACCCAACCTTGGTCTTTCCTAATGGTCCATATCTCGTATAAATCATCGCCTAGTTACTATATAACATCAACGCCTAGTTTAAGTCTAGATACCATTATTGATACCTAGTTCACTTAAACTATTGCTCTGATACCATATTTGTAACACCACGATTACAAAACAAACACTTCCAACCTTCATTAAGTAAATTTTAGTTTCAAAAACGTCAAGATACGGGATAGCTATTTACAACCCAAAATACATAATTTTAAGACTTAATAAATACATAGCTAACAAAAAAAAAAACATAATGATCGGGGACAAGTCTACCCGGAATATACATACTATGAACAACCCAATAGTTTAACTTATACCTAAACTCAAAAGTAGGCTTTACATGTCAATCCCTAATCGATCATCGGATCTTGTTTTTGCCTTTGCCAATTTTCCCTGAAAAGTTAAAACCACTAAAAGATAAGCTATATGGCTTAGTGAATTTATGTGGAAAAATGTGGTTACAATGTGTTATATAAGCGTACATATTACGAAATAAAGAAGGTCTCGAAAGAAATTTTACATAACAACACGACAACAACTTAGTTGTACCACATGATGTCCTTTACAACAACCTACTTTGAACGTGGGAATCACAAAAGAATGTTCAACATAGAAAAAGAACATCAATATAATCAACATCATACTCGATATCAAGCAAGGTCACATACCAATTAACTTCACACACAAACATAAGACTTGGCACCAAATYCGCCHTTCTTCTTCCGGATTATGCCAAAGTCCTATACTCACCCCCTGGCTCCCACTGGGCAGTGAGTATGGCCTCCCCTCCGGTTGTCTCACCCGGACTCCATGGGATATCGACAATCGGCGCCCAAAACACACCACAAAAAAATACAAACAATAAGACCAATTTGAGGTAATAATCTAGAACTAACATGAATCATGGATAAACAATAAAACATCATAGCATATACACACATATGTCCACATAAACTCACAATGTTGTTTAATGAAATCGGTTGATCAAACCGGAAGCCAAATCGAAAAGTCGAATCCTAACTCCCGTTCAGTGGTTGGAAAGCACTTCCAAGGCCTTAAATTATGCTTAAATAATACGTGGAGTTCATATATAAAGTCTTATTAACAATGCACAACAATAACATAAAATTAACCCTTTTTTAATTCAAGTTTTCTACTTTAGTTTTCTCCTTACAACACCTACTTGCAGACATGTTTTGACCTTCTTAAACTCAAAATCATTAAATGATTTTCAAATATGAATTGTAGAACTTTTTCTTACCATTCCAGAGCCTATTTGTAAATATTTTTAGGTTTTTTCTACTATTTTATACGATTTTTATAAAACAATTTTTATACCAAGACTTTCAAACTCGAAAATAGCTATTTTTCAGCTTTTGAAGTTAAACTCCAAACCATTTTGTACCAAATTCATATATTAGTCTTATATTACCATAACTTATATGAAATTATCACGAATCCATCATTATTTTACTAAACATTCACCTAGTTCATCTTCATATAAGGTTGACTATCAAAAGTCAAACTTTCCCAAACCATATCATGTATACACAACTATTTCTTGTTATCTAATCATGATTTCCACAAGATAATAAGTTATGTATTACATATCCTACACAATATCAAAATTTCAGCTTATAATTCTCAACATGCAACCCTAATTTCATGGTTTCTTGAACTCAAAGTGAATACATTATAAAAAATGGAAGCATATCTTCAATAATCTTGCAAAATTTCACCAATTTCTTGCTAAAACACCCAAGTTTGGTTCCCTTGAAGAGTACAGAAACTTAAAATCGAAAATGGGGAAGAATTGGGGATGAATTCGTGTTTATATGTCTAAAACCCGAGTTGGGTCGGTTTGACCCGGCTGGGTACCCGTTTTGACCATTAAACACTAAAAGTTATATAACTTTTCGCTTGAAACTTCGTTTTCGATAAGGTTTTCGCCTACGCGTTCATAACACGATAATCTATAATTCACAAAAAAAAGTTTTATAAAAGACCTCCTAATAACATAAGTTTTCATATTTGTACGAGTTATGCTTTCCTTTGAAATTTTGCCGTTTTTTATTTTGAGTTCGAAATCTGGTAAAAAATTTCCGACACCTCATACAACTCCTAATAGGTCCAAAACTTAGTTCCAAAGCTTAACATCCTATTAAAAACCTCCCGATTGAGTATTGTGCACGTAATTTATCGAAATCATACCGTAATTTGAAAAACTTGCATAAAATGCAATCTACGCGACTTTTTCGACTTCYGAMAATTYTAACACTTCATATTTACTTATTCAAAGGTGTTCCAACATTTATATCACCATTTAGATCTTCCATTCAAGTTTTGGATAGATTTTTCTCATTTAGGCACTCTAGATCCCTACCCAACTATCATGTATGCAATGTACTTTGTATGTTGAACCCTCACATTATCTAATTATGTTAATTGTGAGGTGTTAGCACCAATGTTACCTTCTACATCTCATTCCTATTATGAGTTCTACTTATAGCTCACTAGTATACTTAGCATTTTAGCAATTTTTTTTAAAATAACACATAAGGTATGCTTATAATTACTAGTTAAGCATATTTAAATAGGTGGATGTTACATTTAAACCCATCGCCTTTAGTGGATACACATAAAAAGAGATAAAAGATAAAGTTTATCTTATCTTTACTTCAAAAAAGCTTTTGAGAGAAAAAAGGTGTCAGTGTGGCGGTGGAAGTGTTATTGAGAAGGATTTTTGCTTAAAAAGGGATTCGAGGAATCTGTGTGTTTGAAGCTACCAATCTGTGCTTATTCATGTGAGTTTTGATACTAAAGATCTTTAAATAATGATATTTGAAATCTATGGTTTTGATGTTTGATTTTGAGTAAAGAATGGTGTAAACTGTTTCTAACAGTTTAAGGTCGAGCTTTTATGAATTGGGTTTTTGAAACTATTTTGGAAAGATAAAGCAAATTATGTTCTTTGAAACAGTTTTGGAATGATATCTTGTTTTAAGGACACAAAAGGAGATTCTAAGTTTGGAAATAATATTGCAAGAACTGGTTGTTCTTGAGTTTCAAAAGTTATAAGATAAAACTGTTTTTAAGCCATTATTGGTGAAAAACTATAGAGTATATTCCTTCATGTGGGTTGTGACTTTGGTATGTCTTCGTTTGGAATTAATCTATAGATTTTGTGGATAAACTGTGGAGGTTGTTTCATCAAGATGGTTGTGACTTCGGTTTGTCTTCGTTTGGAACTAATCCATAGATTTTGATGAGGAAATAAGGGTGGCATATCAAGGAGAGGTGTACCATGGGATAAATGTGGCATATCAAGGAGAGGTGTACCTTCTGTTATAAGGGTGGCATATCAAGGAGAGGTGTATATTTGGATATAAGGGTGACATTTGTGTGTGGAATTATTATATCTCTTGCTATTATGTCTTTTAAGATTGCAATAGATTTGATTTCTTACTTCTTTGTGATTTGAGGACTCAGAGACGTTTCTCTTGTTAGAAATAATAATATTGATGTTATTGAGAAGGGGAAAACTAAACCTATGGCCAATGGCTTGGGATAAACTTTGTTTTGAAAGTGTTAGAATTACGAGGAACCATAGAAGCTGTGGTTGTTCCTTGAAAGGGATCAGAGGGGCTTTGGTTGCTCCTCAAAATAGAACCAAAGGGTTCTGGATGAAGAATGAAATTGTTACATGTCTTTTTGCAAAGCTTTTTCTTAAACAAGAGGCTCTGTATCTATTGGGTAGCTCTGTGTCAAAATTATATTTTAAAAGATATTTCAAAGATTTTACACTTAGAAACTTTTCTTACAAGGAAGACAGACGGGAGGGGCTCTGGTTGGCCTATGCGTTGAACCAAAAGGCCTCTAGTTGATCTAACATTTTGAGCCAAAAGCTCTGGCTTGTAGAACTAGAGCTCTGGTCATACAAGATTTCTTTAAAATACGTTTTGATACTTAGGAAAGCTATCTTACTAATTATAGTATTAATCTATGAACGTTTTGAGGATTTTATTTGAGTAATAGGCTCTGTTTGGCTTAACCAGAAGCTCTAGTAGTGGAACCAGAGGAGCTCTGGGCCTGCTATCTTTTAAAATATTTTCTAAGTCTGGTCCTTGGAACCAAAGGACCGATGAACAAAATAGATTGTGGATTTACATTTTATTATGTGAATTGATTTATTTGAATAATGTTTTGGTGATGTTCACCCTGCAATTACATTGGAAAAAGGGATCTCACTAGAGCTTCAGGTCTAACCCTCATTTTGTGTTTCAAATATGTATTGCAGGCAATGCATAGTATAATGATAATAAGGGAAAAGGGAAAATG